TTTCACATTCTCACACTTGGTATTGTTCTTTTAATTTTAGCCATTCTGACAAAGGTGTAGCAATATTTTATTATTATTTTTATACACATTTCTCTTTTGACTGAGCGCCTTTTTATATGTTGATTTTATATGCTTATAGTCATTTGGTTATCCTCTTTTGTAAAGTGCCTATTGAGGTCTTTTGCCCACTTAAAAAATTGAGTTACTTTTTCTTACTGATTTGTAGAGTGAATGAGTTGGGTCCTGTGTGAGGCAGATACTAAGATGAAATCATCAGTGCAAGAGATATATATGAAAGAAAAAGGGGAGAGAAAGAAGGAATAGGCAGGAAGAGTCTCCAGATACAGGTCTGACACTTGTGAAAAGGGAAATGGAATAATTGGATAGGAATAGAATCAGACTGGCGTACATCTCTAAGAGTCTCAGCCAGCCCAGTAAGGAGCTCTGACACGACTCCCCATAGAGAAGTCCTGTACTCGCTAGAGATAGCGAGCCCTTGTCCCACAACTGTGCTCATAATTGGCTAGGTGCTTCCAAGGAAACATGTGGCCTTGGCTTGCAAGCTGAGGTAGATCCTCTCTAGAAGGGAGATCTGAGCAAAGTAACTTCATGGATGCCACAGAATTCTTTACCAGATGTATGTATTGCAAGTATCTTCTCCCAGTATGTGGCTTGCCTTTTTATTCTCTTAGTGACACCTGTTACTTAATTTTAATTAAGTCCAATTTATCTATCTTTTCTTTGGTAGTTATTGCTTTTTGCATAATGTTCAAGAAGTCTTTGCCTTTCTCAAGGTCATGAAGGTATTCTATGTTTTCTCCTAGAAGTTTTATTATTTTGCTGTTCACATTTAGGTTTATGATCCATTTTAAATAATACTTTGGGTATGGGTGTAAGTTGGGGTCAGCTTTTATTATTTTCCAGATGACAGATTTGTTCCAGCACTAGTTAGTGAAAAGGCCTCCTTTCCCCCACACCACTTGCAGTGGAGACTGTTATAAACAAGAGACTGTATATGTATGGGTCTGTTTCTGGATTTTCTAATCCAGCCCATTAATACCTAAACTTGTGCCAATATCACACTGTCTTAATTCCTGTAGTTTTATAATAAATGTGGATATCTGGTAATGTACATTTTTCAGCTTTATTCTTTACTATTGGCTTGGCTATTCCAGGCCCTTGGCAATTCTACATATACTTGAGAATCACCTTGTCAACCCCAACAATATGCTGGGGTTTTAGCTGGGATTCACTAAGCCTATGGATTAATTTCGGGAGAACTGACATTATACAATATTAAGTCTTTGAATCCATGAACATGGCATGTCTCTGGGGAGGAACTTCTAGGCAGAGGAGAGAGTAAGTACAAAGGCAGATGGATAAGAAACCATATGGCTTATGGAATATGAGAAGCTACAAAGCAGTTCAATGACGTGTAAAAGTGCAAAGCATGGAATGCAGAAAATGAGGCTGAAGAAAGTCTGATGTGCATTCATACAGAAGATTCAAGCAGCAATGGATTTGAATAGGTTTGAATGGCTTTCAAAGGGGACAAAAGTGTAGGTGGGCACAATAGGAGACCATTCCAGGAGTTTAGGTGAGATATGATGAAGATTTGAACTTGGACAATGGCAATAAAGTGGAGAAGAAATGGATTCATATTTTATTGGTAAAATCTGCGGGACTTGGTGACTGGATGTTGTGGGGTTGATGGGAGATGCTAAAAGTCAAAGATGGCTCCCAGCTTCCTGACCTGTATCTGGGTAGATGGTGGTATAAGAAATATGGGGTAAGAGTACACTTGGGAGAAAAGATGTTGAGTAGGTTGAGTTTGGGATGTCTATGGGGCTCCCAAGTAAGGAGTACCTGACACAGAGGAGATATTTGTTGAACCGAACACTAACAACAACTGGCGGCCCTTGAGGAAAAACAACATGTGCTATTCTTTTCTATAAGCCCCAACAACTAGCTGCTTATCATCTTTACAGTAATACATTTTTTCACCAGCATAAGTCCCCCCAAAATCAAAACCACCACTTACCCTTGTTGTTTTTAGTCCATCCATTACCTTGTCATGTAATCTTTCTTTTTCAAAAAATTAAGCATATCCTGTACAACTAAAATATTTTCACTTTTCAGATGTGGAATCTTTCAAGAGGGGGTTCAGCTACTTTAAAAAATAGTGAAAGGTGGGGGGCGTGCCCAGGTGGCTCAGTCGGTTAAGCATCTGACTCCTGGTTTTGGCTCAGGTCATGATCTCAGGGTGGTGAAATGGAGCCACAAGTCAGGCTCAGTGCTCAGCAGGGGGTCTGCTTCTCTCCTTCTGCCCTGCCCCCAGCTAGTGCTTTCTCTCTTTAAAAATAAATAAATCTTGAAAAAAAAAAAAATAAAGGGGCACGCCTGGGTGGCTCAGTCAGTTGGGCTTCTGACTCTTGATTTCGGCTGGGGTTGTGATCTCCAGATCGTGGGACTGAGCCCTGTATCAGGCTCCAGACTCAGCACAGAGTCTGCTTGGGGTTCTCTCTCTCTTCTTCTCCCTCTGTGCGCCGCGCCCCACCCCCCTTCAGCTCTCATGCATGCAGGTATACTCTCTCTCTCAATAAATAAATAAAATCTTAAAAATAAATTTAAAAAATTAAAAAAATAAGAAATAGTGAAAGGGTTAAAAAAAAACTTTTAAAGAGGTGAGATGGGGCACCTGGGTGGCTCAGTCCATTAAGCAGTTAAGCTTAAGTGTCTGCCTTTGTCTCAGATCATGATCCCTGCTCAAAGGGGAGCCTGCTTCTCCCTCTCTGCCGCTCCCCCTGCTTATGCTCTCTCGCTCGCTCTCTCCTTCTCTCTCTCAAATAAATAAATACAATCTTAAAAAAAATAAAAAGGGGGAGATAATAAAACCCATAATAAAAGGGGAGATACTAAACTTAGTCATGTGACAAATAAAAATAGCCCTGGAAGTAAATATAAACATGCTGTCCTATTAGTGAGAGTTAAATAAGTCAGTCTTTGAAAAATAAAAGATAAAACTTAGTTCAAAATTCTGTACTTTTACTAAATCTCTTTAGCTGCAACTTGTGATTTTATAGATTGGAGTGGTTTTAGAACTGGTCTGAAGTCTGCAACTGGGACAGACTCTTGTTTGGTCCAGAACTCTTCAGTAAACAAACATTATTATCCCCTATTAAGTTCAAGAGGTGCCTAAAACCAATCAGTTTCTGGGGGTGAAATATAAATAAATACACGCAAAATATTCTCCATTCCTATTTGTCATTCACCTTCCTAATGGATTCTTAAAAATCTCCTCAGTTCTCCCTTACAGCTCTAACATTGGGGGTTGTAAGGGTAAATACAAGTTTAAAAAATTAAATTAAAAAATTTCCCTGGTCCCAAAAAGGACAAGAAACTTCACCTCCTTTCTTTTCATTCAGCAATTCCTTTAGAAAAATCAAAATTGTAAATGATTTCTCTCTTTGAGATGTATGTACACCTTTAAAAAAGCTAAGTAAGCCTCTGCCAGTTTTGAATCCCCCTAAGGTCTTTCTTGGGGGCCTTGAATTTACCTCTTTGAAATGCAAGTATCAAGGAGGACGGTGCCCCACCTCCACCTCCCTTTGTGGGAGTTTAAACCTCAGCTTTTGGTTTCCAGATGTAACTTCGTATTATTTTTTCCTTTGGATAAAGACAGCAGGTCTGTCATGGATTGTATCTGCCTGCTACATAAACAAATGAGATTTTTTTTTTTGTCTTTATAATCTCTTCAGTGCATCACAGCATGTTTTAATGCTTATTCAATAATAAAATTGTTTCATTGTTTTCTACTCTTCGTGGAGGGTTTTTATATTAGGAGATTTTATTTTTAATTATTCCCCCAACTGGGTCCTCCAGTTTCCGCACTTATATAGCTGGCTGATAATCCCCATTCCCTCTCCGCACTTGTTTTAGGCAGTAAGGTATAGTGGAAAGAGCATGGAGTTAGACAATCCTGGATTAAAATTGTGCTTTTCTTGTTACCAGAACTTAACTTCTCTGAAGTATTACCTTTATTTTTTCTCTGAAGTATTACTTAATTCTCAGAACCCCTATTACATCATCTATAAAATTAGAATGTTATAAATGAGGTAAATAAACTGACACACAGGAGATTCTTAGCCCGTGAAAGAAGCAAAGTTATACTAGAGTCCCTCAACACACTGAACTTTCGTTCCACTCCCCCTCTCCTCGTGGGTATCTGTCAAATCCTAAAACAGCGTTTCCTTCACTTATCCTGAGCACACCGCGTCATAAGGCAACGAACTGGAAGGGCGGATCTTAAGAGTTTAAAAAGTTTTCGTAGGTAAACTACGTAAGGTTGACAGAACCTTCGTAGTTCAGACAAAATGGGGGAAAATCAGACTGCGGGGGTCCCCAAATGCAAATACGTGAATTACAAATGAACATAGGGGCCAGCGGCTTCCTCACTTCCCCTGCGTGGCGCACCGGGACGTCGGAGCTGCGCCGCCGACCGGCGCGGGGGCGAAGATTTGCATGTACGAAATTGGGAAGAGGGGGAACCACCCATCGAAAACCCCGAGCCGCCGACCGCCGGGGCCCGGGAGAGCCAGCCCCACTTCGCCGCCCGGTCCGCCCCCAAGTGCTCCCAGGCGGCCAGCCCCCTGGACGGCAGCGCACCCTCCCACCCGCTCCTGAACTTTAAACCACGCGCCTAAGAACAACCTGGAGGAGGGGGATTTCTCCGGAGTCGGCGGCTTTCGCACGCTCGGGACAGTCACCGCCCGGCTCCCAGCGTTCCCTGCGCTCCCGAAGATCCCGCCTCCCGCTGCCGGGACCCAGTCTCAAAGCTCGGGGCGGCAGGGGCGGGGCGCGGGGCACGGACGGGGCGGGGCGCGGGGGCCTACGTCAGCGCGGGAAATCCCCCTCCCGCCAGGCTGCCTGCCTCTAGGCCGGGCAGGCGCTCGGTTTTCGCGGCGCTCCGCCCCCTGCCCCTGGCTCCCGCACCTTGGACGGCGAAGCCGGGTGATCCGGAACGCGAGAATTAAGGGGGTGGGAAGGTGTGAGCCGCAAACCCCGAGGAGGGCGGGAAGGAGGAGGAGGCCCCGGGGGTTGGTCAGGCGGATTGGGGGTCCCGCCGGCAGAGTCCCTCCGCCGCCGGACCGACGCGGGCTGATTGTGGCGGCCTCGGGTCGGACACTTGAAGAGGGCGGCGCGGTGAGCTTAGCCATGGCCTCGGGTGAGTGTTTCAGGCGCGGGTCCGGGCCGCGGGAGGGAGCTCATCCGGGGGTCTTGCAGTTCAGGGTGTCGGGGTCTCGGTTTCGGTTGTGTGCGTTCTGTCTTTCAAATTGTCTCATCTGGCAAATTGTCAGCCTTTAAAAAAGTTACCTGGCACGGGGTTTGCGAGCGAAATCAAAGTCACACTCTGTATTTTGATGCCATTGTAATAGCCGGAACCTTAGAAATTCCCAACGACTTGATTTTTAGGATTAGGGAAGTAACACGAATCTAAATGAGGACGGAGAGTTCTCGTATTTAAAAATTGATTTGTATTGAAATGGTGGTTTTATGTTTTAGAACAGGAATGAAGAACCTTCAGACCTCAGGAGTACTCTCCTTTTTTAGTTTAATTTCATCAAGTGCCAGGAGGTGATCGCTGGATGTGTTGACAGTTGTACAAAATGTGGTGTGGCTTTAAAAGTCACCAGTGGTATAACCGGTCTTAAGTTGCTTCAACAAAGTGGCTAATTTCTACTATAAAGCGGGTACTTTCTAGTTTACGGAGAAGTCTTTTTTTTTCTTTGTTGGAAGAAAGGGGGAAAGGAGTATTAGAATATTTTAAAGCAAAATAGTAGAAATGAAAACTTTACATCACTAACGTAACAACTTATTTTCAGTTAACCGATGCGTAGATCTCTTGCTTTGGGGGGGAAACGAGTTTACCAAAAAACAGGTTAGAGGGCCGGGGAGGGAGTCTCATATATATAGCCGTGGTTTAGATCTGCCTGTAACTTAAAGGGAAGTAAATCAAGAAGACTGTGTTCGAGTTGGACCTTTACAGGATCCTGGCAAGGTTCACAGGGCCCTTTCTCGGCAGACGGAGCAGCGTGAGCAGGGGCAGGGAGGCCTTGTAGGGTAAGTTAGCGCGATACTAGGAGGCTGAAGGTTTTTGGGGACCTGTTTATGTTTGACCCGCGTCCTCCCAAGACCCTGGTTCAGTGACCCTCAGAGGCTGATGTCTAGCTGAGAAGAGGAAGTAGAAAGCATTAAAGGATTTTTTTTTAAGGGGTTGAGCAGAACAATGCCATAGCTACTGCTGTAGGCCGAAAAGGAAATTGGGGTGGTTCACATGACATTTGATTTCAGTTTGTCTGTGGTTTTTTATGTGACAATACAAGTGTAGTTTAAAATATTTCAACTTTCTCTTTACCCACTTCAGTGACCCCAAACTTTCAGATAATTTTGTAAATTTATAATTTAAAAGCACGTTTAGATTAAAAGTGCAAAGATGATCTGAAATATTTGGCTAATTTATTTGATGACAGAAAGAGATTTTGTATGAAAGTATTAAAGAATGGTAAGGATTATAAGCATTATAAGTAAAAAAAGGTCATACTGCTGGCAGTTAAACCAAACTTCACTGATACGTGGCATGAGTGTAATACTTCTAATTCTTTTAAAAGAGAGAAAACTTTACATAGAAGGTAAGATCCACATTATTAAAAAATGTGATACGATTTAAATTTGTTTAATGGTACTATATTTTGTACTGTTGTGAGGACTGATTCCCTAAATTGAAGGGGAAAAAATTTAAAGGAATGGAAAGTTGTAGGGTAATTATCTTTTTTTTTTTTTTTGCCTTTTCTGGAGTTGCATTAAAATGGGACTATTTAAAATATGACAGATTATTTAAATTGTAATTCAGTTGTTTGAAAACTGCCAAGGAAATTTTTAAAAAGGAGTCTGGGAGTATTTTTCTTAATCACCTGTAAAGGCCTTAGAGAAAAAGATTCAGTAAATTATAAATTCTTATCCTGTTTTGAAACAGTAATTGAACTGAAAGAGTAATAGGAAAAAAATTTTGCTTAATTAGTTATCACTGTCTAGTTTAGATTATTTGTAGTAAGGTAGTAGTAAAACCTCAAAAAAGTATTTTTATTGATTACCAGGCACTTAAGACCATTTCTTCTTTTCTCACCGGATGTCATATGTAAATAGGTATGTGTAGCTGGATTTGTTATATGTAAAGTAACAAACGTAGAATGTAAAAGTAACAGATCATAATCTCATTAGCAAAAATTTAAGTACCATGAGTAATGGGGAATTTAATATATAGATATATAAAAATTAAATATGTGTATATGATTCTATAGGATTCTAAATTTTGTTCAGGTAAATTACCAAATTATTTAGGATTTCACAGATTGGGTTCTATTAAGCTGTCTTTATTGCCTTTTTTTTTTAACACCTTGATTTCTGTCTTTTGACACAATTAATTAGAACAGGTACTGTTAAGAAAAATGTTCCCTGTCCCATGTAGGGTGTGCATAAGCAGTCTCTACTCTTGTATATTTATGATTCTGTTTTAAGTAAAATTTGCTATTTTGTCTGGATTTAAAGCTTCTCATTGTTCCTGTAGAAAGTGCAAAATATTCTTATGCACAGATAGCTCTGTTTACTTGTAAGTATGGTAAAATATGTTTTAAAATTCGATAATTGATTTTTATTCACAGTGTTCTTTAGTATAGATCTGTTGTGTCATAAAATAGGAAGTACATGAAGAAATTGTTTTTATAAACCACACTACTTCCAACTCTGTGGTGTGGATCTCAAGAGAACTGTAAGTATTTCTCTTGAGTAAAGGGGAAAAAAATCAGTGTAATTATGATGCAACTTAATCATTAATGATAGAGCTGGAATTGACAACTAAAGCAAATGACTTTTTTTTAAGTAGAAGACTACACACTATAAACATGAAGTCTGTTTCCAAAATGTGGCACGTGAAAATGTAGAGACAACTACTGTTTAAAAGAATTAAGGTGATATATGATAGGGTAAAGGGAATGAGTGAGTGAAATGGCTAAGGAGGAATCATGATGAAACGATATTGGGAACATCTGGGGTGTGTGTAGTATCTTTCCCAAATACAATATAAGAGGCCCAGGATTTCCTTTTGTTCCATCCTTCTCTCATCTGTGTTCTCTGCATATGATTGGGTTTGTAGGCACATGACCCAAATACTTGCATGGGACATACTTATACTAAAAAAATTTCTTTGTTTAATTCATTTTTAAGTAGGCATCCTGTAATTTTTATTTTTAAATCTGGCAGTCTTAATCAAGATAGATGAGTTGGTACTGCCATTTATTTTTAAGTTGATTAAATACCTGAGTAATCTAGGACAGCTTTTAAATATTTCTCTGCTTTTTCATTCTGGAAGTTAACATTTTTTTCAAGATTCCCTCTTTCCCCACCATAATGGAATCTCTAGCAGTAGAATCTCTGTTGTGAAACTCTTGCATCTTTTATTTACCTTATGGTGTGTACATCAGCCAAATACTCATCTGAAAATTCCCTTACTTGGATGCTTAAGACTTGAGAATCAGCCTCCGAAATTGGAATAAATCTGGACTTTAGCCCATAATGAACCTGGTTTTATCCCAGTTCTGCCACTCTGTAATATAAAAATGGGAATAACTACTACAACATCTTGTTTTGAGGAACAACAGAGACAATTCATGCCCATAAATGTGTTTTCTTATGTAGTGGAGCTGTTTGGAGACTCAGACCTCTAGGAAACAGGAGCTACTAGAGGTAGTTGGCACTCACTATTGAGTATCCTGACATTCTAGAATTCTGTGAAACCTTCAAAACTTGCAATAATAGGTAGAACAGATGCTAGATAGAAAATAGTCTTTCAAGACTTTATGAGAATGTGCATTTACTTTTAAATAATTTGGAATGGTTTTCTGTATTTTTAAGCTAGTGAAGAAAAATTTGACAGTGATGTTTGGAGGCAGTGTATCTTTTCTCCTTTGTCCACTTAAATTTACTTTCTGAAAGAAAGTAAATCAAAAATTTCTTAGTAGATAGACCATGTGTCCTTTTACTAATTTGATTGATATAACTTATCCTTCATTTGATTTCTTTTGCACCTTCTGTGTTAGTCTTTTTCTATCATGTGGGAATAGGCTTAAGTTTTCATTGCCCCTTTATTAATTGAATGCCATTCTATCTATGTGAGAAATGGTAACTCTAAATTTTGATCATAATTAGGAAGAAATGGAAAAAGTGTGTCTTAAGGGAAAGAAGCTTATCACAATGATTCAGTTGGGTTCCTAGGTTTGAGGAATGATGAATAGATCTTATTTTCTTTTTCTCCAAAGTGAGTAAAAGTGATACTAAGGAAAGTATATTATTGTTAGCTCCATCTGCTCCTTTGGCTCTCAGGCAGTCTATTATCCCATACTTCTGCGAGGGAGATGCAGTCTGCAGTCAGTCTCAGCTGTGGTGTTGATACATTAGCTTGTGATCACTTGCTTGCCCTATTTTAAGAAATGTTACTGATGATAATTACAGTATTAATTTTGCAAACAATTTACCTTTTAAATAAATTGGTGTGATTGAAGGCTATCCCTATCATAATGCTTTTTTCCCTTGCTTATATTTGGCTAAGCTTTTTAGGGTGGGAGAAAAAAGAGTTAAAGTCGTCAGAATTAAAAAAAAAAAAAGTCAGATTTTCCTCTGCCTAGTTTGTCACCCAGCCCATACTTGTACATGAATTTTTGGATTGCTTTTCTGGATATGTGTATTGTTTCTGCTTCTTTATGTTTTAGGGCTCTGGTTCCTAATCAGGAGTGTGTTAGAATTGCTTGGAAGGCTTTCCCAGAAATATGTCGGGGCTTTAAAGATTTCTATTTCTATTCAACAGATTATAGGTGGGATCAGGGCATGTATGTTTTTTGAAAAAGCTTCCAAAGTGATTCTAGTATACACCCCCACTATGAACTCTGTTCCAGGAATTTCATTGGATCTAAATATTCACTTGCCTATTCCAAGATGCATTATCTTCTTAAACTAAGTTGTATTTATTTTAGGTTATTTGCTGTAATAAGTTATTGTGACTTTACCTCCAGCTGTTTTTATGCTTTGTTTTTTAATTTGATCAATTGGGATCCCAGCTATCATATTTGCTAATGTCATTCATAATTTCTTTTTCTTATGACTTCGTAATTTTGAAATTTATCATCTATAAAATGGGAGATAATTCCTGTTCTGTTTTTATGAAGATTAAAGTTAAGAGGATCAAATGAGAATATATGTAAAACTACTTTAAAACAGTATTATAATTACTGTAATTAATTTTTTCCTGAACAACTAGTGCTGGTTCCTGGTGTTAGCCATAAGGTTTTACTTAATGTGTTTATTTCTGACAATTGAGACTCCATTTTTAATTTTTATTTCAATGTAATTTTTTAATCTTAAAAGCTCAAATAGCACTTTTTTTTTTGCTTAAGTGCAAATAAAAACATAAATCTATCTTGCAAACATTTTGGCTGTATTTGAAATGTTATTCTGGTCTGTATTAGCATTTTACAATATTGTTAAAAATGTAGGGGTCAATCCCAGCTTTGCATAGTATTGGTTAAAAAAAAGTACATTGCTTAACCTTAAGCTCAACTTGCTTAACCACTTTGAAGAAATTTCAGTACTTTTCAAAACTGTAGTGATTTGAGATAATCTTAGTTAAGAGTACTTATTTTCCCTACAATTCTCTGATTTGCACTTTACCTTCTTCCACTCCGTATAAAACTACAGTTCCACACTCTATCTTCAGGAAGAATGGCACTTCAAACACAGTGCTAAGGGAGGAAGTAACAGGTACATTATACTGATGTATGATGTAAATGATGTAAATGATTTATAGCTGGGAAGTGTTTTTAAATCGTAACTACAGATAAATTAGACTAAGAATAGGTGTGAAGAGTAGAAAAGTGTAGCAATTCTAATACCTACAAAGCACTATTTTTTTCCATAATAGTGGAACCTAATAAGGAAAATCTGATTAATCACTAATACGATCCTTCGATGTTTGTATAACTTACAGAAACAAAAAGATTTTTAGATTTTCAGTTATTCACTCCCCAGATATTTACTGAATATCTATGTGCATGGCACTGATGAGGAAGTCACAATTCCTGCCTTCAAGTAGCTTGAAAAGAAATACAACAAGTAGCTTGATGAAATAAAACAAGGAGCTTTTTTCAAGAAGAAATAAAACAGTGAGTCTTCCCTAAATTATAGTTATTTGGAATAATTGTCATGAACAAAATACTATGATAATTTAGAGGAGGGGGAGATTATTTCCAGCTGGGGGAATATGAAATATTACAATAACATATTACCTGGTTGATAATGAGAGTTTTTACCAGTAAAGAGCTTGTACAATAGGAAGAATAGATTTCAAAGGTTTTTTAAGTACTTGATATTATATGATCACTAGTATTTGTCATTTTTATAACTTCACATCTTTAAAAATTCTTTTATCTTTTAACAGCTGCTTTTCTGTTCTCTTGCCTATAGACTTTTCTCACAAATACTTTCTAGTTTAAGGAAGTGTTGTGTAACCAATGAAATATTTGAAAAATCCCTATGAGCCTAGCACTTTTATTCACACTCTTCCCCCAAAAGTTAGCCACTTACCATTAATGATGTAATTTTCTATCAACTTCCCACCAAGACACCTTTAAATAAGTAGTGGGCAGGGATTTATTTGACCTTTAGTTAAAGCACATAAATTATTTAAGATATCACTTAAAAAATACTGTTGAGTATTTCGAACTATTGAGAGGAAAATGTACTTTCTTTTAAATACTCCTGCAATGATATATAAGGATGTGAAATATTTGAAGCTGAAATGTGAATTTGAGTTATTCATAATATACAAGGATATATAAGTATGTGACAGTGAAAAATGAAAGGCATCTGCATGCCTTACATTTTTCAGTAAAACTGAAATAAGTATTACGAACGTGATTAGGTTAAAGTCCGGTTTCTCTGGCTCTACCAGTAACTTTCCTCAGTAACCCAAAGTAGAAACTGTGGAGCCTCAGTGATTCTTTACTTGCTCCTAACCCTAATGTTCAGTCAGTCACCAGGAACTGTCAGTTTTGTTGAAATAATCCTTCACTCCTGCTACTACTACTAGATGTCAGACATGCCCTCACTGTTGCCCATAGTACTGTCACACAGCCTCGAAACCGATCATCATACTCTTTCTCCTTTCTTTTCAATCTGTCCACTGCCACCACAGTTCTTACTCTAAAATGTCAGTCCAATCATACGATTCCCCTGCATAAAGCCATTCATTGATTCTTTGTCACTTGTGGAATAAAATCCAAATCCCTAATGTCCTTTGTTTTTTTTGTTTGTTTGTTTTTTAAGATTTTATTTATTCATTTGAGACAGAGATAGAGAGAGAGAGAGAAAGCATGAGCAGGGAGAGAGGCAGAGGGAGAGGGAGAAGCAGGCTCCTCACTGAGCCAGGAGCCTGATGTGGGGCTCGATCCCAGGACCCTGGGATCATGACCTGAGCCGAAGGCAGACGCTTAACCATCTGAGCCACCCAGGCGCCCTCCTAATGTCCTTTGTACTTTGTACAGATTTGTACAGATTACAAATGTACTCTGGCTTTTGCTTCCAACAGTAGAAGTGTACTCCACTTCCACTGTGGCTTCATTGGTCATTTTTAAACTCTTCCTCTTCTGTGCTGCTGCGCCTTTGGACACACTGTTCCCTTTCACTAGAAGGCCTTCCCTTCTACTCTCCCCACCTTTTTGCTTCATTAACTCTTTTTTCTTTGATTTGACACAGGCATCCCTGATTGTTTTGCTTTTACTATCATTTTATGCACAATTTTGTTAGCATAAACAAAATTTTGTTTTGTTGGACTCTTCTGTAGTCTAATAATTTGTGTTGTTTGCCTCACTGTTCTATAAAATTCTTGAAAGTACCAGTTGTTATGCCATCATGGTATCACTATAAATCATTTTCAAGAAAGCATCTGGGGCGCCTGGGTGGCTCAGTTGGTTAAGCGATTGCCTTCGGCTCAGGTCATGATCCTGGAGTCCTGGGATCGAGTCCCGCATCAGGCTTCCTGCTCAGCAGGGAGTCTGCTTCTCCCTCTGACCCTCTTCCCTCTCGTGCTCTCTCTCATTCTCTCTCTCAAATAAATAAATAAATTTTTTAAAAAAAAAAAAAGCATCTGAAACAATAGTAGACAACATTTATTGAGTATTTGTCATAGGTGTGATACTTGATAAGAATTGAACACACACTACCTTGATTCTCACAACATGAGGTAGGTGCTATTATTATTCCCATTTCATAGATTAGGAGACTTAGAAGATACATTTCCAGGGTCCTTGCTATTAAGATATGGCTAAGTAGGACTCAGAAGGCCTCTTCCTCACACTGTACCAATAAGATCCATTGTGTTACCCTTTCTAAAGATTTGCTTGCATTCTAACAGAGGATAAGTCTTTAGTCAGAGAAATGGATTATCTAATTGTGGGAATTTAGAAATCACTAAACTGATGGAAGGAAAATGGGGTTTTTTTGAATGGAAGACATCTTCATGCCCCTGAAATAAAGACACATTGCCAAGTACCCTACTTGTAAGCACACTTGAGTGTCTTCATTGAACTTTTCATTTCTATAGTATGGATAATAAGGGTAAAGATGCATATGTTTTAGACAACTTTACTGACATATAATTAATGTATGGTGCACATGCTTAAAGTTTGCAATTTGATAGCTTTTGACATATGAATACAACCTTAAAATCATCATGACAATCAAGATAATTAACATATCCATCATCCCCCTGACTTTCCCCATCCATTCCACACCTGTTCTTAGGCAATTAGTGATCTTTTTTTGATTATAGTTTACATATTCTAGAGTTTTATATAAATGGAATCCTACAGGATGTGCTCTTTTGGTCTGGCTTCTTTCAGTCAGTGTAACTTTTTTTAAATTGGGAGTATAGTTGACACATAATGTTACATTAGTTTCAGGTGTATAATGTATACGATTCATCCATGTTTAGATCAGTTCATTCTGAAGTTCCATATTTTGAGTTACATCTGTTATAGAAAGTAAGTAATTTATTTTCCTCTTTTGTGTCTTCAGTAAAGATTTAGATGGAACTGATGGAAAATTCTGTTGAGCTTAAAATGAACACTTCTGGAACTTGTTTTGATGTTCTATGTATCAGTCCTTTAAGATTCCAATGGGGATATTAAAAAAAATATCCTTCTGCAAGGATTTAAATGCATTTTCATTTTCAATTAGCAGTCTTTTAGTCCACTGTTAAGGGTCTAATGTAAAATCAAGCAGCTCGACTCACTTTTGGAGTATGATGGTGTACTTTTGAAGACTATCTTCTTGACCCTTCTGGGGGAATCTTGAGGGATGTCCTTGTACTTGGTCTTAACGTGAAAAGTGACTATCTCTGAAGTGGGGATCTCGGAACTTCACACTGGCATTAGCTCTTGATATTAAATGATAAAGTGCTAACCAACAAATATGATTTGAGTGACTTGTGTTAACACTGTATAGGAGCTCAGTATGAATGGGAGAAGAGGCACCTTTACCATCCAATCTTGGGTAATTATATTTCAACCTTATTATTTAATATTGGGAGGGAAAATTTTTTAGTCTGCTATTTTGAAAAAAAACCAAAATGGTCAAATCCATTATTACTGCTATCGTAATCTCACCCTCCTCCTTTTTTAAATTTTCAGGTGGGTATAACCCATGTATAGAGATCATTGAACAGCCCAGGCAGAGGGGCATGCGTTTTAGATACAAATGTGAAGGGCGATCAGCAGGCAGCATTCCAGGGGAGCACAGCACAGAGAACAACCGAACATACCCATCTATCCAGGTAATAGACCATTCTCCTGTGTGTATCTAACTCTTAATTGCTCCATATTTTATCTATAGCAATTATATGAAAGGCCCAGTTTATTCACAGTGTGCTCTCATTTCCACTGTGGCTTACATGTATACTTTCAACGGATATTTATGATATAACAGTGAATATAAGAGCATGGCATTCAGTGGCCCAACATCCAAGTATTTTCTCTCGCTCCATAATATTTTGGTATAGCTTGTTTTAAAAAGAAAATAAGCAGAATCAGATGAAAGTAGTGCAGAAAATAATATGCCAAGGAACTGAGAGGTAAATTCTTCCCTTCTGGTATTCCCTGGAAAGTTCCATCCAAACGGTATTTGCCAGTCAGTTGGACTTTATTTATCTAGTGCTAACTACGTTATATAAATTGAACTCTCATTTAGTAGGTCAGTTCTGAATGAGATCAATTTATGGATCATATATTTAATTTCCCCCTTTTTCAGATTATGAACTATTACGGAAAGGGAAAAGTGAGAATTACATTAGTAACAAAGAACGACCCATATAAACCTCATCCTCATGATTTAGTAGGAAAAGACTGCAGAGATGGCTACTATGAAGCAGAATTTGGACAAGAACGCAGACCCTTGTTGTAAGTATGCAGTCACAGACATCTTTAGGAATAGGATAAGCAGAGGATTCTTGGTTTCCTGTACATGTACATCTGTTATTTCTTAGCCAAATGAAGTAATTTCTCATTCTACTTCTGTTTACTGTAGTATACATTTAAATTTTCTTACCACTTGTATTAGAACTATCCTTTTATTCTTTATTAGTAGACACAGCCCATGATGGTAGCAGGAATACTTATTTATTGCTACTAAAAGTAAACATAAACTTATTTTATGCTGTGATTTTCTTTCTTAGTGTGCACAATCTCTGAAAAGTTTTCTTTCATATATTTTTACTTTGTCCTTTCATTAATAGTTAAAAATTACCAGATATGAGAAAACCGACTGGAAACCTGGAATTATTATTTAGAAAAGGACAGGTTATAAAAGTAACATGATGGTAGTTCTGAGAAGAAAAAGGATGTAACACTTTGGTGTTGGTGAGGCTGCCAGAAGATGGGTCCATTCATCATGTTGGTGATAGTATAAATTAATAAAATCCTTCTGTTGTAAGCACTTTAACAACTACATAGGAAAAGCCTGAAAAATATGAATGTCTCTTGAACCAGCAATTCTACTTCTAGGAATTTATCCTCAGGAAACAATTAAGCATGTTCAGACATTTAGCTATAGTTAATGTTCATTGCGGCTTAGTTTGTAATGGCAAAAAGTTAGAAGCAATCAAAATAATAAACAAGGAGGGATCGGTTAGATAAACTGGTACATCCATGCAGTGTACTCCTATGTAGCCTTAAAAATAACATTGCAAATATCTCTTTGTATAAAAAGATATTCACATTATGTTAGATAAATAGGTTTTAAAACAGAATATGTGATTTAAAAAATCTTAAAAAAAATAGTTGTGTACATGTACTTGGTAGTATATACACTAAGGTATTAATAGTGGTTGTCTCTTGGTAAAACTGGGGTTTTATGTTTTTCTTTTAACTTACGTTTATTCTGTGGTTCATTTTTTATAATGAACATGTATTGCCTTTGGAAAAAACTGAACCTAATTACAACAAGGAAAATGTTAGTAGCCTCCTTATATATTAATAGTAACTATCTAGAAAATATACTTTAAAAATATTCCTCTTACAAGACAAAACAAAAAATATCCAGTAATACACATATGACAAGAAATATTTCCTATGTATATCATTTGACCTCCCAACACCATTTTACACTGTGAACCACTCCTTTCTTGGAACATTCTTATTTCTTGATTTCTGTGAGAACAGAGTCTCCTGTTTTATTTCCTACTTTTCTGGCTGTTCCTTCTCAATCTTAGTTACAGACAGTGAAATTCTTAGTTATGTCCAATAATGCCCTTTATGGTTCTCCTGCTTCTCCTCCCAGTCCAGGATCCTGTTAAGGATCACACACTGTATTTACTTGTCATGTTTATTTAGTTGTCATGATTATTAAAGTCTCCTTTAATTTACAGTAGTTTCTCAACCTTTTTTGGTCTTTCATGACATTAACATTTTTGAAGAGTCTAGGCTACTTGTTTTGAAGATTGTTGTTCAATGTGGATTAGTCTAGTTGCTCGTTTATATTCATGTTACTATGAATAACATGAAAAATATTTTCATGTTAACATGAAACATTTTGGATGAGAAGTCTACAGAGGGGGGTGCAATGTTGTTCTCAAAATATCCCTTCAGAAGACATGGGAGATTAGTGTTTTCCATTGGTGATATTAATTGGCATTCTTTTGTAAAGAAAAATTTCCCTTTTTCCCCTTCCCCATTAAAAAAAAAAAAAAACCACTGTAGACCCTTGGATTCTTATATTCAGTGTACTGTAGTCCATTACTGGCAATATTATTTTGATGTTCAGATTGACCCAGATTTCACCAATGCAAGTCCCTTCCTCCTGCTCCCTGTGTCCTTTTGATATGCTTCTTTCTTAGAGCACTTCTTTACTTTCTGACACAGCAAAGTGTTCAGGACTTACTTGTACTTTTCTCGCCCCAGCCCTGAAATCAGTTTTTTCTAAGGAGCCCTGGTTCCTTTCAGTGAAGAATGGTATTTAGTCTCATTGTCTTTTTGACATATTCTCTTAAATATATGAAAAGCACCTCAAATAGAATATGCCCCAAACTCTGACTTTACCATGATCATACTTCTTTCTTAATGGGTCTTCCAATGTGCTTTATCTCGGTGGTTGCTATAAAAGCCCCCTGACATGGGTATCATCCTTGACACCCCTCACACAGGCACACACATTGAATTCATTAGCAGGTACCTCTAAATAGTTGTTGAATCTGTGCACTTCTCTCAGTGATCTCCGTCAGCACCACACTACCCGTGGTCAAAATAAATGTAGGCTGCCAGAATAGCCTCTTGACTGGTCTTGCATCAACTCTTTTTGTACCTTTTCCCCTCAAATCTGTCCTCCACTTTAGCCAAGGTGATCTTCTTTAAAAATTAATTTATTCAGAGTGATCTTTTTTTTTAAAAGATTTTATTTATTTATTTGAGAGAGAGAGAATGAGAGACAGAGAGCATGAGAGGGAGGCGGGTCAGAGAGGGAAGCAGACTCCCCGCCGAGCAGGGAGCCCAACGTGGGACTCGACCCCGGGACTCCAGGATCATGACCTGAGCCGAAGGCAGTCAATCAACCAACTGAGCCACCCAGGCGCCCTGGAGTCATCTTTTCAAATAGAAATCTGATTGTCACATTCCCATTTAAAACATTTTAAGGGCTTTATGTGGCTCTTGGAATAAGGGCAGTATTCCTTATTGGCCTACAGGGACCACAGGGTCTGCTTGTATGTTTAGCCTTCTGTCCTGTGCTCCCCTTGAACTCTATACTCCAGTCCCAGAGGCCTTCCTTTAGTTTCCTGTGCTTACAGGACTCTTCTGTAGAGGCCTTTGCTTGTTCTGTTCCTTCTTCCTGAAGTCTCTTTCTCTCCTCTTCCCCTTATTCATTTCTGTTTATGTTAAGTACCACTTTGTACAATAAGCCTCTCTGTCCTTCCTGAATTTATCAACTCTCCTGTCATAGGCTCCTGTGACACAGTGTATATCTCCTTTATAAAAGTTATCATGATTTCAGTTTAGCATTTTTTGCATGTGATTATTTAATACTGATCTAAGTGCTTCCCTAGACTAGAGGTCAGCAAACTTTCTCTGTTAAGAGCCAGATAGTAAATGTTTTGGGCTTTGCAGGCTATATGGTCTCTGTTGCATCTGTTCAATTCTGTTATAGCATGAAAGCACACATAGACAATATATAAACAAATCAGCTTGTCTGTGTTCCAAAAAATCTTTATTTAGAAAAACAGGTGGTGGGCCCGGGTATGGTCCATGGGCCACAGTTTGTAAACCTCTGCACTAGAATAAGCCCCTTGAGGAGAGGGATTGTAATGCCCATTACTTTCTAGAGTTTTTGGTACAGAGTAGGAATTCCAAAATTTGTTGAATGACTGAATCAATGAATGAATGAGTAATTGATTGAAATAATCTTCATGATCCTTGGTTTCCTCATGTCAGAATTTCAAAAATCCCTACCACTTCTAATATTCTGTGAATAGCAGTCAAATACGATTTTTCAGATGAAACAAAATTAAGTAGTGTATAAATACATTAAAATAAGTAATTCTTTAAAATCTTTTGTCAAAGAAAAAGTGAGAACCAAGCTATGAATCTTTCAAAGAAATGGAATACTTTTGAAGAAGAGGATTATGGGTTTCAGGATTTTGAGAAAGGATTATGAATTCAAGATTTATTTTTTAATTACTGGAGGTAGAGGAAAGAAATGCAAAAGATATTTTAGGTGCTAACAAAATGACAAGTACAGTGAAGGTGCAGAACATAAACATAAGGCACCATGAGATGGAGAGGAGCAAACGAGGCAGGCAGCCTCCTGTTGCCCAAGTGCCATGTGAAGTTTGAACAAATAGTAATGTTATTATAACTAAGTTTTGCTTCCTTATTCACACCCACCCAACTTTAATGATGTCATGGTTTTTCCATGTGGGAACAAGTATGACTGGTGGTGGTAGGGGAGTTCCCCCCACCATCATCTGTGCTACAGATATGCAAATTAGTAATATTTGTAGCTATTGAGAAGTTTTCCATAAATGACATTTTGAAACTTTTGTTAAATATTATTGTTCATATTAAACATCCTTCTAATTTAAAAGAAAACATTTCAGTGCTTTCTTATGAATGATTATTATAATTTCATGTAATATAGCATAAAACATATTCCATTGCTACTAGTAGTGAAGTCAGGGCTCAAAAATCAAACGTCCGTGGAATGGATCAGGTGTTAAGAGGACTAGCAGGCACTGTAGTAAATTGGAGAACCCTGCATAAATGGGGCTGCAGGTGCTCAGCTCCAACGAGGTGTTCCTGTATTAGGCTACTGTGGCCAGACCTTTAGAATGTTCAAGAGAAGCCAGAAATCCAGATGTTTATATGCAATTACTGGATTGTTAAATGTTAGTAGTGTGTGCGCATTTTTTTTTTTTTTTTAATACAGGTGACACTTTTATGGGCTCAACAAAACATACCTGTGGGCTCCTTTTACAACTTTTTTGTTTGGGAGGTCAGTTTTAGCTTTTTGATATTACTTCCCTGTTAATCTTCATCTATTTTGGCATATTTGACATAGGCACAGGATGTACCCTTGATTTTTGCAGTATTTTTTGGTAAAACCTCATTTATATGTCCTTGTGTTTAACTATAATACAGTTTGAAAGTTCTGTTTTCCTTCTAGTTTTCAAAATTTGGGCATTCGTTGTGTAAAGAAAAAAGAAGTAAAAGAAGCTATTATTTCAAGAATAAGGGCAGGAATCAATCCTTTCAATGGTAAGTATGTTTGACAGAATTATTTCTGTTATTTGGATATTGACCTATTTGTGCAAGTGAATTCTGTTTGTATCTTGAACCTGTGCTTTAAAGGCTGTCTTAAGTTTTGTGTTCACTTTTCTGCTTGCTGACGGATACCTGTATCCGAGGAAGGAAGAAGATTTAAAACCTTTCATAGTGTTGGGGGAAAAAATTATCTGACAAGGCTTTCTGGTATCCGTGGAAAGGGCCATTGTTTTCTATAAGAAAACCTCACAGATGTTCTGATTTCTTTTTGAATGTGGTCTTCCATTTGTCATTCCAACAGACAGTATACATTACCTTTTCTGAATGTTGAACTGGCACTGTGGTTATTTAAATCAAGGGCATACTCAGCAGCGAAATTTAAATTAATCCCAGGGTGGGAGAAGACGTATAGAAATAGTAGAAGCTATACAAAATATTTTCATAGTGTATTTGTGTCTAAGGCTAGGTATTTACTGGTTAGTGTGTTTTGTCAGGGATAGTGTGATCTGGTGTAGCGCCTGGCAACCGTAAGCACTCTGTGTTGTTTGAAGGGATGAATGACTACACCAAGCTAAATGCTGGCATCCCACACTAGGGTAGTTTCCACTGTAAAGTCTTCTGCAGCTACTTCAATAGGCATCATTCAGGAACTGAACGGCAATAACATTTTCAAAGAATAGATCTCTCTGTCATATTTAAGACATCCTCGTATCATTGGTTTGTGTTTTTCCTGGATGTATAAAAATAATTTAAGGGTTATGAAGATAATTTAAGGAATATGTTCATAACCAAGTGCTGTATTTTTATGAACCATAAGGTCTGCATCTCTTCTCCCTAGGTCTTTATTTTTCATACTATTTAGTATAATGCTCTAAACAAAAGTCCCCTTCTTCCCCTTCAGTCTTCCTCATCAGAGCAGATGACTGTTAAGTTTGGTGTGTATTTTTTTAGAATTTCCTTTATACATGTATAGCTGTCTCCCTAGTTTAGGAACTTATCATTTCATAGTTTACCAGTGGAGACTACTGTAGTGTGGGATGCCAGCATTTAGCTTGGTGTAGTCATTCATCTATTCAAACAATACAAAGTGCTTACAGTTGCCATCCCCAGCAAAATCCACTAAAGAGTAAATATCCAACTGTATACCAACTATATGCGTGTATTTTTACATAAATAGAACCATGCTCCTGCTTTTTTCTTTTCACTGAGCAATAGATCTTAAACATCTTGCCATGTTAGTACTTATGAATCTGTTTTACTTTTTAACAGAGTACGCTATTATTTGGACAGACCACAATTTATCTAGCCATCTGTTAATGAATGTTTAGGTTATTTTCATTTATTAAAAAAACTCCATTGAACATATATACACGGAGTTTTTGTGTGATTATTTCCTTAGGATAAATTTTTTTTAAGGTTTTTTTTTTTTTTTTAATTTAAGTCCTCTCTACACCCAACGTGGGGCTCGAACTCATGACCCTGAGCTCTAGGGTCGCTTGCTCTTCTGACTGAGTCAGCCAGGCACCCCTAGGATAAGTTTTCAAAAGTGGAAAATTTCTGGGTCAAGAGTATGCTCATTTTCATTGCTAAAGTAAAAGCCCAAACTTACAGAGTCCATCTATGAACAAATGCAGTATAAAACAGGGATCGTGTAGTATCAAAGAAGATCATAAATAACAGCTACCTTGTATTAAATATTTTTTGTGTGTCAAGGAGTAAATGTTAAGTACTTTGTGTATGCTATGTATTTAGTCATTACAGCAACACTGTTTTATAGAAGAGAACCCCAAAGCTTTGGTTATGGTAATTTCCCCAAGTTACATAGCAAGTACAAGTGGCAGACCTAGAGTTCAAGTCTAGGTCTCCTGACTCCAGTGGAAAAGGCATTAAGAAAGGAAGAGGCAGGGAGTAAGAGGCAGATGGGCCTTCCAGAAGTTTTGTAGGTTTTTGGTTTTTTACCAATCCAGAACCAGGCATGATGTTAATAACACTCATATAGCACCTAGAATAGTTCTTAGTACAGAATAAGTGCTTTACATATTTTATTTTATTTAACCTTTAAAAAAATCTTTTAAAGTTTATTTATTTAAGTAATCTCTACCCTTCAATATGGGGCTCAGACTCACAACCCCGAGGTCAAGAGTCACATGCCTTCCGACTGAGCCAGCTAGGTGCTCCTTATTTCATTTAATTCTTACAGCAACGTATGAGGTAGGGACTGTTGTTATCTCCATTTTGAAAATAAGGAAATGAAGGCATAGAAAAGTAATTTTCTCAAGGTCATGGAACTGGTAAGTGGTGGTGCTGGGATTTGAACACAGGTAGCCTAGCTAGCAGGCTCACGATCTTCTGTCTGCTGAGCTGCCTAGGTGGATTTAGATTTGGGAAAGGAAGTAATCCTGCCAGTTGAGCCTTCACAGTGTTTGTGGTTTTGGTTGTTGTTTAGTTCTTTGTAACATCCCTTTCTTCCCCATAGCCCTTTTGCTCTCTCTAGGTGAAGGATGTATCTCACAGTTTGAAGTGTGGAATCCACCCCACCCCCACTTACTACTAAGAAGTAATCTTCTTAGAACAGTGCTTTTTATAGCATATTATTCTGATTAAGAAATTGGAATGGCTCTTTTAAAAGTTTAAAAACTAAATGGCCCTAAATTGAAAGTTTTCCACATGTAACTCCAACATATCTTTCCTGCCTTCTCTTCCACTGGTCATCTTCGTAAACCCCTCACTATTCCAGCAAAACTCTCTTGTTCACCCTACCCTGACCATCCCTCTGGCCATATTCTTCATTTTCCATAGGGATGGAAGTAAGCTTACACCATTTGTAGCCTGGACTGTTGTTGTTAGCCCTTAACCTTGTGGTCTTGCCTCTGTTCTTTATCATCTTCCAAACACTTTATACACTGCATACAAAAATATCCTTCTAAAACCAGTAGGAATCACTTCAGAACTCTGCTTATCATCCTTCAGTGGCTCTGAATAATTTTCATCAGTGGTTCTCAATTTGAATGTGCATTAAGAATCCCTTCTTACTTGCTAAAAAGGTAGATTCCAGGTCACATTCTGATTAATTTGTTAGGTGTGACAAGGGATCCGGGACTGTGTTGGTTGTTTTTTTGTTTTGTTTTTGTTTTTTAAAGATTTATTTATTTGAGGGAGAGAGAGAAAGAGTGCACACATGAGCAGGGGCAGGGGGCAGAAGGAGAGGGAGAAGTAGACTCCCCGCTGAGCAGGGAGCCCAGACTCGGGGCTCGATCCCAGCACCCCGGGACCATGACCTGAGTCAAAGGCTGATGCTTAACTGACTGAGTCACCCAGGCACCCTGGGACTGTGTTTCAAGAAACCTGTAGCTCCATGTGTCTTAACTTATTTGACTGTGACTCACAGAAGAAACAGATCTTATTTCTCCACTCAATACTTACATAGGCATACATACATACATAGATAAAAACACTGTTCTTACTACATGCAATATACTCTTTTATAGCTATGACTTTGCATTCCATTTCTTCCCCCCCCCTTTTTAAGAAAATGCTTATCCAACCCACCAAATTAGTTTTTGACTGAGCAGTGGGTCCCAAATTCTTACTACATGGAATATGTTCTCTACACTATTCCATTCTTCCATTCCTTATTTCCTTCTCTCTTTCTTTCTTTTTTTTTTTTTTTAAAGAAAATGCTTATCCACATGCACTTCTATGTTTATAGCAGCATTATTTACAATAGCCAAGATACGGAGGCAGCCCAAGTGTCTGTCAGCTGATGAATGGATAAAGATATATGTGTATATATGTATTTACACACACAATGAAATGTTATTCAGCCATAAAAAGAATAAAATCTTGCCATTTGCAGTGACATGGATGGAGCTAGAGAGTATTATTAAGTGAAATAAGTCAATCAGAGAAAGACCAATACTATATGATTTTACTCACATGTGGAATTTAGGAAACAAAACAAATGAGCAAAGGGAAAAACAGAGACAAACTAAGAAACAGACTCAACTCTAGAGAACAAACTGATGGTTACCAGAGGGGAGGTGCTTGGGGGGAGGGTGAAATAAGTGATGGGGATTAAGGAGTGCACTTGTGATGAGCACCAGGTGATGTATGGAATTGTTGAATCACTATATGGTACACTTGAAACTAACATAGCGCACTGTATGTTAACTAACTGGAATTAAAATTAAAAAAGAAAATGCTTATCCAACCACCAAATTAATTTTATGACCAGTGTGGGTCCCAAACTACGATTTGAAAATCTCTGCCCTAGATGATTCTGATGCAAGTGATCCATGGGCCACACTTTGAGCAACTCTAAACTACTTGCTAGATTCAACTTCTCAATCATGGCACTCAAAGCCCTTCATAATCCAGTCTTTGCTTTCCATTCCATCTTCACCTCTAGCTTGCATCCTCTGCCTCGACTTCCTGTCCCTCCTTCCCCTAATACTGAGTGCACACATATGTGCTTTGTTTTTGCCATCTGAACCGTTTTGCCATGTTAGAAGAGCCACATTCTTTTTTGCTACTCAGCCTTTAAATATATGCAACTCTCTTACATGGAATATTATCTACCTGGTGAATTCTTCCTGCTCAGCCTTCAAGTTTAAGGTCACCTCTTTGAAGCTTTCTGTGACCTTTCCAGACAGAGCAAAGTATCCTGTTTTCACAAAATGTTTTACATATTTCTGATATGATTTGCTATAATTTCGTTTGCATGTTTCTCCTTCACTGAGTCCTGAGGCTCTGAAGGACTGTCTTCTATGTATCTCTAACACATAGCCTAGTATCTGGCACATGGTAGAGGCTTGATTAAAATTTGTTGAAAGGGTAAATGAACAAATGAATGAGTGAACGTGCCTTGTTTGTACTTGTCTACCAAAAATATTCAAGTTGTTTTCCTTACCTGAAATGCCCTGAAAACCTTTTCAGCTCTCTTGAGCCAAAGGTGATATCCTCCTAATTATACCATTCGCTCAGCAATTGGTCAT